GGCTAGTGATTAATACTAAAGCATATAAGCTGTAAATAGGAATGATCTTACTGTTATGATCTGAATTCATTCTATGGCCTAGCAAGAGTTAAAATTACTGTTTGAACTTGTATGTATATGACTCAAGTCCTGAAAGTGTCTCATTCTTCCAGGTTAAGAATGGTTAGAGAGGGATAAATAAGCCTGAGAAACAGACAGGCAAATTTATTTAGAATAGCAACTTATGATCTTAATGGAAACTTTGCTTTACTCAGGACGTTATTAGGAATCAGAACATGTGTAGGAAGTTATGCAAACTACTTAGAGCTCACTTTGGAGATGTTCCTGAATTAAACTATATTTCCACCTGAAACACTAATAAGGGGAATTTGCTATCTAAGGCCTTGGGGACTGTTAATGAACTATTACTCTGAGTCTAACTCCAGGTATGGTTAACAAGGAACTGATTGAGCTACTGACCCATGACGTCAGCAACCTGCAAAGAGGTTTGTGAGCTGCACCTGTGAGCTGCAAGAGGGTGTTCTCATGGGAAGGTCGGGAGAACAACTTTTCTGCATGGCTGAGGTAGGATTCTCCTGACTCAATTTCCCCACTATGACGCCTGGCAGACTTTAAGCCTGGCTCAATGCAGTTGGTCATATATATGTGACTTCTGTCTGGAGTTGACATGACTCTAGGGAAGCATTGTTCCCTTACTTTAGTTATGTTCTTTCATGGCAAATTCCTACAATCATAAGTTTGTAAGCATAAACATCAAATCTATTAAACGATTGATGCGGGAACATCTGAAGCTATCGGAAGATATAAGTATAAGATTGAGTTATTTGGCCTAGAATTTCAGGATTAAGTATTCAGTCTTGACATCTGTTACTAGTATATTCCTGTATAAGTCAGGATCCTTTAATTTCTCGTAATGGTTATGATGAGGTCGGGAGGTTTGGAGGTTCTGGGACTCCAGGGTCATAGCACAAGTGTTCCTCCTGAAGAAGGTCAGCCCACGTCTTTCAGCCAGGGGGGACTTTTGCTGGAGATAAACCATATAGGCCAGGTGAAGCCCATAAGGACAAGCAGGCAGGAGAAAGTCTCGCCATTTAAATGGGGGCCAGGGTGGATCTTACATACACTGAAGTAACTTTGAGTGACCAGAGGAGGAGCTGGGAAAAGGGTCTAGGAGAGAATTCTGATTGGAATGTCTGAGAGATTGAATAGACAATGGGAATAGATAATGAAGGGTACTGGAAGGAAGAAGTTTGAAAGGCCTCTGAATAAGATCAAAAGACAGGGTCAGGGCTTTCAAAGGAAGATTAGGAGTTGGGGCCTATGGAAGGATGGAAGCCAGATTCCTTCTGGGTCAAGGAGCAAGAGTCTCGCTTGGACCCATACCCTGTCATTAGGGGATAATTAGACCAGGAGACTGTGAAATTATATAGGATATTATTATGTTTCTTACTTAATACTTAGTTAATGTTGAAGTTGTCTCAGTTTGTTACAAATTAATGTTAAAAGAGAAATAGCTTGTGACTTATCTTGTAAATGCCTTGAAAGAAGCATCCATTTTAATTAACGATTATTTATTTGTACGTGACCACAAGTTGGGACTGTTTTAGTATTTGATATGTAATAGTTTTAAATTAACTACTATATATTGGAATGTGTTAGTAATTCCTTAGTGGAATCTCATCCTCCTGATGGGGAATACAAATAGGAGTGAATAATGAATTAATGCAAGGTATGAAACTAGAAGTAATTCAGAGTGTAAGGCTAGGTTCTAATTTTTCTAATTTGAGTTTCTTAAAATACGACAATTGGTCAAGGTTCCAATTTTGACCTTGTAATAGTGTAGACATGGGAGTTAAGTTAACTTTCATTATTTACCCTGGTTATTGGCAAGATAATTTAAAATTGTGTTAAGATCAGTCTTGTAGGAGAGAGAGGACACAAGAAGGAGGATCTCTGCAGGAGGAGAGTCTGCTGGACACTGTTTGAACAGCACTTGGACCAGAGGACTTCACCAGATCATGTCCAGAATGTCAGACAGCTGTATGAGAAGAGACTTCTGAAGCTTTAAATGGACGATTTATCGTTACTTTTGGGTCTCTGTATTTGTACTTAATAAGGGGACTGACCCCTTTTTAATTTGTCAATGCGTCGTTCACTTTCTCCCATATTATTTTAAGTCCCCAAAATCTCCTGATGAAATGTTGCCCAGTAGCACAGCCCCAGATAGAACCATCACTAAGGCATTGCACGGTTTAACCACTTCAGCTGAGGAGTTGGCAGGGAACTCTGAGCTGTAGGATGTTGAATAGTTCCATGGAGAGGGCAGGCTCTAGCAATATAAAGATGACCAATGAGGCTTTCCCCAGTGATGGAGAATTCGAAATCATGTTAAGGAAATTAGAGGATAAGGAAATTGGGAAGGTGTGGGAACCAAATCTTTATTACAGAAAAAAATGGGGGAATTGTGAGGAATGCTAACAGTTTGGTTCCCACAGAATTGATAAGAAAACAGGACAGGGGGAGATTAGGTTATTGATTAATTGATCTCTTGGTTTATTGGTTTACACAAAAATGTAAACAAGATATGGGAGTATATCAGGCAATGTCCCCAAAAGTTTCTTGTTCAGGCTTTCCGGCTCTCCCCTCCTTTTTTCTTACTTTCCTGCTGAACCATCAGTTCCTTGTTTCAAGCCTTTTTGCAAACCTTGTTGCTGGGGAAAAGTTTCTGCGCTTAGACTGTGAGCTCTGAAGCCCAGCCAATGGGAAAAGGAGCTAGTGGGAAGGTGGGGGTTCCGCCTAAGGGTCTACATAAACTGGCTTTGAGCTACACTCCCTTGCACACCCTGGCTGGAGCCATCTTGAGCAGATGCTGGGTGTGTCCTTTCTCATGAGAAAGCAATAAAACTCCTTTTTGCCTTTCTTAAGAAAAAGTCTCTGATTTGATTATATTGGGGGTCACAAACACCCCACACTCTCACTAAACAGAAATTCCTTTGTTAAGTAAAATGACACTGAGGAAAAGTGAAGAATAATTTTCTTCAGGGCATGATAACAGTTTATAAACAGTGAGTGAGATGAAGTTTCCTCAGTACTAAAACTCATGAATTCCCTTTGTACTCCCAAAGAAGCAAGAGCGGACCTATGTTCCATCTCCTCTAGCAAGATAAGCATTGGGAAAGATGGCTAGCCTGACCTCCAGAGGCTTCCTGCTTATCTGTCTCTAGGCAGAACTTCTAAATGGTTATCAAAAGTCCCCCTAATTCTTTGTCGCTACGCAAATATTTCCAAATAAGGGTCTTAGAAAGTCGTGTTTAGATTGTGCACCCTGAAACCCAGCCAATGGGAAGTAGGGTTCAGGAATGGGGAGGGGGTATTATGTTAGGATTATAAAACTTTGTTCTCCATTAACAGACTTTGCACTCCCCTGACTGTCGTCACTTGAATGACGAGGGCTGTGCCCTTTTTCATGGGAAAGAATAAAACTCTTTCTGCACTCTTGACTTCGACTCTGGTTTTATTTAGGATGGTCGCCCATACCACACAACAGTGACACATGTAGCTGTGAAAAAAAAAAAAATGGGTCCCTGGCCAGCTCAGCAAAGTCAGGGATCTGAGCATGATCAATGTATTAGGCTAGCAATAACAAATAAGTTGTGTTAATGGTCTCTCTCAATGACCAAAGACCCAGAGTGGGAGCAGACAGGTTCTTATAAGTCCAGGCATGTTTTCCTTCTGATTGGCCTGACAGTGCAACATTTGGAGCTCACCTGGCAAACGTCAGACAATCCCAATTGGCAGACATTTTAATGAGGAGGTAGATTAAGAGTTACCTCAGCTTCTCCCTGTTACTTCCTCCTTGGGAGATAGGAGTAATCTTAAAGTGATAGGATTAGTCTGCAGGTGTAGGGGTAGTCTGCAAGAGCTTTGATTGAATCAACTTGAATTCCTGAGTGGAGTTACAAACTAAAATAACAGAATTGAGATTCAAATGACCTGAGGCTACCTCAGCAAAGGGTAGAGGTTGTTACAAGATAAAAGCTTGACCTTTAGGCAAGTTTCTCCGGAATGTAGGTGGAGCGTGAAGTTATACCAGTAAGAAGTTTATACTCACATGATGTGTGAAAATATTAACCTATGCTAGCTTGACTAAGTCTTAAAAATAGAATTAAAATCAATTTTCAGTTTCACATTCTCCTCTGTTAAAGTTCAGGCCATCCTAATGACAGGGTTGGGATCTGGGCCACAGAAAGGAAAAACCCTGGACTTTCACACATGGTCAAATCTCTGGTGTTCTCCTGAGGCTATAATCCCATCAACTGGCCTTTCATTGTGGCTACAACCAATCTGGCCTCCATTGTCTTACCTCCCTATGGCCCCTGGCCATTTCCCACCCTTAATCCTAGCTCGGCTCCATTCTCCTTTGGCCACAAGGTCCAGGTCCTGGGACTTCTGTTCACCCCAGTTTACTGGCCAATCCTAGGTCCCTCCCACAGGCTTTCTGTATATAAGGTCCATCTTGTCTCCATTAAGATGCTTAGATTCTTATAATCTAGTCACAGCTCAGATTCCTAAAATCTAGTCACTGCTCTGATTCTTATAATCTAGCCACGGTTTAGATTCCTATAATCTAGTCACTACTTACCCATGTTCAGACTCTTTGCCCAATACGATGGATGTTCTAATAAACCTTGTCTTTGGCTGAAAGAAGGCTTGGGTCCAAGTCTTTTGGGCAGGAGCCTCGTGTTGTGCCATACGGAGAAACTGCCTAACCCCAAATTCTTCTCCAGCCAAGACTGGAAGGTATGTAAGCCTTCCCCCTCCCCTCCTTTCTTGCTCTGCAGTTGGGATCGCTCTCCAAGCACCAAGGCTTGGAGGTGCTTTCGGGCAGATAGTTACAAGGCTGTCTTGCACTCGGCCTGAAGCTTTCAGACTCTCAGTCTGTTGAGGTTTCGTGTTGGGAGAGCTGGTTCAGGTGCGAAAGAATTCACTTAGACTTTCTCTGTAGCCATTGGAAGCTTTATTTCATCAAAGCTTCACGGGCCTGAGGTTAGCAAGGAGCTAAACAAAGGCCCCAATATAGGAAAGGACCCAGACTTACATAGACAGAAAGCTATATTTTAGGAAAATGGCTGTGAAGATAAGGAAAAATTGTCATGACACAGGATGAGGAAGCTAGATGACAGAATATGGAACACAGGATAAGGGAGGCAAAGGAAATTCTTTTGGTGCAAGTTGTGTGGCATTTCAAGATATGGGAAAGAGACTCTAGGATGCCCTCAAGTCCCGGAGGGGCCTCACGAGGTGCTGGAAAAACAACCCTTAATTAAAATTTGTTTCTTTAAAAAGCTTTTAGCTTTTAGGGCACTGTATGTCTTCTGCTTCATTCCCTACTCAAACACTAGGCAGGAGAAATCTTGGGGGGGGGGGGAAGGGGCAAAGGTCATTGTCTTCAGTAGCTGCTTCCTGCTGAACAGGGGTGAAGAGTCCATTTCAAGGGCCTCGAGTAGGTTGAGGAGGGGAGGTCAGCATGAAGATGTGGGATGCAGTGTTAGCTGAGTCCATTGTGGAGACCTGCAAACCACTTGGGGACATCAAGGCTGGTATCCTAAGAGTTGAAAGTGGAATTTCTGCAGGTGAGAAGACACAAATCAGACCAGGATTTGAAACAAACACGGACCAAATATAAGAGCAAGTAAAATGATGAAAGAACCATGACCCGTAGAAGGACATAGGGGGAGATATCAGGTTGGAGTGAATGTCTGGCATCCAAGAGACTGCCTGTACAATACTTCAAGTGCTCAAAGGATAAATCCCATGCAGGGTTTTCAGGGAATAGGGGAGAGCTATAGGGCGTAAGCTAGTTGACACACCCAGCAATCATGTACAATGCTGTGCCCCACAGAGTTCCCTATTTGAATTAAAGTATTAGAATTCCAGTCCAGGTGGAGCCCAGAACAAAGCATAGCTAGAAAGTATACAGATAAGTCCACAGTGAGGGGCTTCAATGCATAGTCTTCTTTGATCACTTTTCTGACTGGGCGCACCTTGCATCTTATCCCATATCTCACATCCCGCATGCTGCTTGCTCCATCTGCCTCAAGAACTCCTGTCTGCCTCACCATTCACCCAAATGCTCTTGGGAGAGGGACAAAGGAGCTGTCCCTGCCTGAGTGAGGGTGGGGAGGGGAGTAAAATGAGGCTGAAGCAGCATCCAGGGGATGAGAAGAGTGGAACAGGTATCCTTGTTGCGTGACCATCTGCATGTGGACAGCCAATAGTCTAGGAGACTCAAATCTGACAAGCAAGTTCATTATGCAGGGCCCAAATAGAAGGAGCATTAAGAATGACATCAGAAAAGAAGAAAACAAAGAAAGAAACCAAGGGCCCCATGATGCTATTATTTGCTTTCGACATATAGGATTATCTGATCTCATTGTCTCCTCAAAAGTTTCCACTCTGATTCCAATTCTTTTAGGAGGATCAGATGATATTGAGGATCCAACTCTGTACATGTAAGTATAAGTAACAACACTTTTGCAGGTAGAAGCTTTCTACCCTTGAGTTCAATAGTTACACAAATGAATTTACTTACAAGAGGCTGACTTTACTCCAATTATCATTAAAGACTTGGGAGAATCTGTAAGTAATTAATTCCAAAACAATGCATATCAGTAAGCTGTTTACAATAAAACATGTTTGTACCACAGGACATACAGAATAAACAGGTATTATTTTCACAATAATAGTAAACTTTAAACGAAATTGATTTTCTCATTAATGCAAAAATATTCCATAAGTTACCTCCCTTTAAGGAAATTGCACTGAAATTCTTTTCCCCACACTCAAGATGTTTCTGATTTAGTTTCAGTAACTAATAGAATTAACATCTAGGTCCCTCAATCAGTAGTACCAATACCCAATTATTCTTACATCATTTTGAAATTTAAGGACCTTATTCCATACAGACATATATCTAGTAATAGGTAGGTATCTAGGCCAAATACCCATTTCCTAAGTTGCTTAAGAAATAGAAAGGAATATAATCTTAGGCTGAATAGCTTAGATCTTAAACACACACTTTGATATAGTAGCTCAGTTGTATCCCAGCCTCATTCTGTGGGATGATTCAATATTGTGTTTGTACCTTTATTTCACAAACTTTTCCTTTGTCTAATTATTCCCCTATCATTCAGAAAGAATGTTCTGTTCCGGGGAATTAATCTTTCACATGACTATGCAGGAATACTAATTTACCCAACTGTTTGGGATACTGGATGACTACACATTCAGATTGAAAACAGCAAGATTTTACATACTTGCGTTGTGCTCACATCTTTTACTGTTTGATTTGATTACAGAAATTTGCCATAAAAAGGAAAAGCAAGGACATCACAGTTTTCCAACCATGCAGTATCAATTCCACCTCATAGCCAGACTCAGGGATAGTCAGGTGGGAAACATTCCTTTTCAAAGGAACATAATGGGGAAACTGAGACAGGAGGATCCCATCCTAGGCTGAGGCTAAGACTGTCCTCTCAGCTTTTCCAGATGCAGACCTCCACCTGTAACTGTCACATTCTCTCTGAGTAGTTTGTGGCATTTCTCTCAGATGGTGGATTATTGACTATTGATTATGGATGGATTTTTGTGAACCATCAGACAACTCAAAACACAATTCGTTATGGTCCCATGAGCTTTTACCTCAGATGGCAAGTTTCACTAATCAAAAATTTGCCAGGACTCACTTCTCAAATTTAAACTTGTCCTTGTACAAAAGTCAATCACTAGAGATCATTTCTATATACTTGCAAATTCTCAGCAGGCCAAGTTTCTTGTTTAGGAACTCCATGATCCAAACAAGCTCTTTGGCAAGTTTACAAAATTAAGGAGGATCAACAGGGATCCCAGAGAAGGAGCTGCCTTATCCACCCCATCTACCTTTAGAACTGCTAAGGGCTGTGCTTTTCCACTAGCCCCAAGAACTGCTCCTTTCCACACATACACACAGTAATTAATTACCAGCTTTAGGCTTTAACATTAAAACAACCAACAATCTTACAATTTTCATAAGTGATAACTAAATTGTTTTAGCTGTAACACAAAACAATAAGCTTCAGATGACAACAATTGCGTTTCCAGATCTTATAAATATTACTGATATGGGCTGGCTTACCAAGTACAGACACAGACTGACTTCTTTACCTTGACCCATCCCCTTTCACTCTCTTCCCACGGTTGTGTACTGGAAGATACTTTCAGGCTGTAGCTGCTGCCTCTCTCCCTTCTTCCTATAGCCAGGTGGCGGAAGGTGAACTTGCAGGCTGGAATGAGAGGGATGAAACACTCTCTTCCTAATCTGATCTGGGATGAAAGGGGTTAACAGGGAAACCCAGGGCTGTTTGGAATCCCCACACTGAGAAACCCTCTTGACTCAAGGGGAGGGAGTAGGGAAGGGAGTGACAAGATTGTAATGAGGTGTTTAAAAACTCCTTAATGATCAATCTCAAAACTTCCAGAATCTGCTAAGATATTTTAGCTGTCCTAACTTTTTCACTTCTCCGTCCACCCCGTAAAAATTTAGAGTGGGGCGTGAACTTTCAGATCTACATTCGAGAGACCAGTGCCCTTTCTTATGGTACGGGAAGCACGAACCATTGACTCTGTTTCTCTGAAAGCAACCGATCCAAGGACACAACAAACCTAGGAATGAAACTTAGAAAATTCATGGTAGATTTGGACATAATTATTATCAGTATCAAAGTACTGCAACAAATTAGCTTGCAAAAGGAAATCTAGTAGGCCTTCTAAAAATCACATAAAAAGATTTTGCAAAACATTATTTTGTAAAAAGTATTTCCCTTTCTTAAAAAAAGGTTAATCCTGATTCCTTAAAAGGAGTAATCACTAAACTTTCATGAAGTAAATTAGCTAGAAACCTTAAAGATTGGAATTTATCAAAACCAAGTTGGTGCAAAATGTCTTTTAAGTATCACAAATCCCCAAAGTGCCATAAAATCAAAATTCTCAATAATCATAAATTCCTAAGTACCAAAAAGTGTTTACCTTGGGAAATTTCAGGTTTTTTTTTTCCCTAAAGCAAGAACATACTCAATGAAGTTGGCCTTATCACACTAACAAAGTTTACCAGGCCTTTAAAAACTTACTCAATAGGAAATCCCCTATAGAAGACTTGCACAGGGTTGATAAGAAATTATGACTAGATAGTTCCAAAAACCCTTGTCTTAGTTAACAATCTCATAATCTGACAGTACAATTCTTGATCTAACAACATCTAGATTATAAGAGAAATTGCTTTTCTAACAACATAGGTGATAAAATTGTTAACCACATTACACAATACAAGAAAATTTAGAAATAGAACCATACCACAAACAATTATCTTGTATTTAAAGCTTGACACAGAACCAATTAACTACCAATCAGGTGACCTTAAATTTAATTGGATGAGCAAACAAGATCTGGATTCATAATCACTAATGGTAACATTTTAATTTCTAAGACCCAATACTCTCAGCACTTTAAAAGAAAAGATTATTGGCCATAAATGCACTTATTTTTTGGAAGACACATGGTGACAGTTTCCAGCTCCAAAAAACTTTTTACTTCCTTGAACTGGAGTTCCCAAGAGTCTCGGGTGCAGAGGGAAGGGAGCAATTGCCATTTTTCCAGTTCCCTAGTGCCCAGAGATTTGAAGGAATTGACAGAATTAGACATATGCTTCTGGATAGTCTGTCCTCTATGCTGCAGAAGGTGTGTCCAGGTCCGTGGCCTTGAACCGCCGGACCCAGAGCCTGAGAGGTCAGGCTGAGTGTGAGACAGCCTTGTGGCTGTGTGACCCATTTGGTCGGACCTGAGAGGTCAGGCCTTCCTGGGTGCTTGGAGAACCACCCAAACTACAGGGTGAGAAAAGGGACAGAAAGAGAGAGGAGGCTTACATATACAAAGCTTCCAGTCTCTGCTTGGAGAAGAGCTGTAGTTCCTTGTCTCTTTTACCTTTGAGACTTATCAGATAAGCCTTAAGCATTCCCATCCCTCCATTCCCATCCTCCTGGGAATTTCTAGCTGCATGTACTAGAAAATGAGACCTCAAAACCAAGGTGCAGGGACCCCCAAAGAAAACCAGGCACGAAGGCCCACCTACCTGCCTCCCCAACATTCCACGGGGGAGGAGAAGGAACAACACAGGGTAAACCAGGGTGCAAAGGAATAAAAGTCTGCTCAGGTAGAGCAAGGTGCGCCGTTTCTTTAAGTTTTGGAGGCCAAATTTCTTACTAAGCTTGTCTTGTTTAGAAATCCCCTTTACAAATTATTTTTCTAGATTACATTGAGGTCAGGTTGTGTTACAATGGAACACTAGGCACTTTTCTTTAAGATCTCCTTCCCTGAATTTCCCAGCCTAGCAGTCTCCTAGCAGCCTCTCACTTGTCTTAGTGTCCCAAGACACTTGAGAGGAAAAAATGTGACCGATCCAGCGCAAGGGCGTCCCGTTATACGAGGGTCAACAGTCTGACTGACCACCCAGAGGTCAGTGGAGCTTCAGACACCGCTGACAGTGTCTGGGCCCTCCAGGGGTCTCAGCCAGGGAGACAGTAGGAGCAGAAAAGGTCTGGGGAAGAGAACAAAGAAAAGGGTGCTTACCTGTTATCCCAGTGGCCAGGAGAAGATCAGCAGAGTCCAATTAATATTTGGACTCCCGGGTTTCGGCACCATTTTATGTTGAGGTTTAGAGTTGGGAGAGCTGGTTCAGGTGTGAAAGAATTCACTTAGACCTTCTCTGTAGCCATTGGGAGCTTTAGTTCATCAAAGCTTCACGGGCCTGAGGTTAGCAAGGAGCTAAACAAAGGCCCCAGTATAGGAAAGGACCCAGACTTCTATAGGCAGAAAGTTATACAGCCTGTAGGATAATAGTATATTTTTAGGAAAATGGTTGTCAAGATAAGGAAAAATTGCCATGACACAGGATGAGGAAGCTGGATGACAGAATATGGAACACAGGATAAAGGAGGCAAAGCAAATTCTTTTGGTGCAAGCTGTGTGGCATTTCAAGATATGGGAAAGAGACTCTAGGATGCCCTCAAGTCCCGGAGGGGCCTCACAAGGTGCTGGAAAAACAACCCTTAATTAAAATTTGTTTCTTTAAAAAACTTTTAGCTTTTGGGGCACCGTATGTCTTCTGCTTCAAGTCCACTGGGTCGGTTCAAGGCCATGGACCTGGGTACACCTTCTGCAGCATAGAGGACAAGGACGGATGCCCTATCCAGAAGTGTATCTGTGAACTCCCTCAGCGCTAGGGAATTGGGGAAAACTGCAGTTGCTTTTTGGTTCCCTGAGGCTTACTTACTCCCTTCCCTCTGCACCTCTAAATCTTCCTTCATGGAGGTTACAGGGAAAGTTAGAACAGCTAAAAATATCTTGGCAGATTCTGGTAAAGAAGCTGGTCTCTGAACTTGGGTAAGCACTCTCAGATTCCTAAAATCTAGCCACTGCTTCACATTCTTAAAATCTAACCACTGCTTACCCATGTTCAGACTCCTTAAGAGTCTGCCCAATATGATGGATGTTCTAATAAACCTTGTCTTTGGCTGAAAGAAGGTTTGGGTCAAATTCTTTTGGGCAGGACCCGCGTATTGTGATTTTGGGGCCCCAGGACCCCTGAACCCCTAAACCACATCACTACTATTAAAAATGATTTTTCTTGTGTGAGAAACATTAACAGTTTGGTTTCCACAGATTTGATAGAAACCCAGGACCAGGGGAAGATTAGGTTATTGATTAATTGATTTATTGGTTTATTGATTTATTGATTTACTGTTTTATTGGTGTATTATTTTATTGGCTTATTGATTTACACAAAATGTGCAAACAGAAGAGATTGGTTTTCACAAATTCTATAGAAATAATAGATATTGTAAACACAGATGGCACAATTAACATGCAGGAATGTTGGGACAAGTTGGGAGTTAAAACCAAGAAATCCTATATAACTGTTTGCTCTACTTCTGTATGTGTGTGTGAGTTCCATGAAGGAATCTGCACACCTGTTTCTCACAAGAATCATCAAATAAAGGTATCTCTTCTTTCACTCCAAAAATTGTGATTTCATAATTACCCAGTTAACTCTTGTTTGGGGAATTCGCTGAGTCCAGTCTTGGACTGAATTCCAAATTGAGTCTGGGGTTTTTATAACATCTTGGTAATCTGTTTCTTGGAGACTCAGAGCTCCACCCTGCCAGCCTTCTGCTGGTTCTTCAGAAGGATGGCTCTGATAATGAGTGTGAGAAATAAAATAGTTAACTTTCCACATAAGTAGGTAGATAGAAATCAGAAAACCACTTACAGGGGGCAGCTAGGTGGTGCAGTGGATAGAGCACCGTCCCTGAAGTGAGGAGGACCTGAGTTCAAATCCAGCCTCAAACCAAACACTTGACACTTACTAGCTGTGTGACCCTGGCCAAGTCACTTAACCGCAATTGCCTTAAAAAAAAAAAAACAAAAGGAAAACCACTTACAAGAAATCACAAATAGGGATCCTGGCAGAATCGGTTCTAAACACCAGAGTTAACTCCAGGTCAGCAGCCTTTTGCTACAGTGAAAATATTTGTATATATACAAATACATACATAATGTATACTAAGGAGTGGGGATCCCATGTAAGATTGTAACCCAGAAGGATTAGGACCAATCCTGATCTAGAAGGGAGGAGTTAGGCAATTACTAACTAAAGCTTGCTCTCGCTTCTGTGCCGGCTTGCACTCTCCCCTTCAAAGGAGGTATGCCTGCTTCTTGAGAGAATCAAAAAGATGCTTCAACCTCTTTAATAAAAAGTCTTTGAGACACCAGTCTATGGAACTGATTCTGGGGTCATCTTTATAGCATGAGATTGTATTGAGTTTTCTTATTGTGAGGAATGCCAACAGTTTGGTTTCCACAGAATTGATAAGAAAACAGGACAGGGGGAGATTAGGTTATTGATTACACAAATAGTAAACAAGATAAGGGAGTATATCAGGCATGTTCCCAAAAGTATCTTGTTCAGGCTTTCCAGCTCTCTCTTCCTTTTTTCTTACTTTCCTGCTGAACCAACAGTTCCCTGTTTCGAGCCTTTTTGCAAACCTTGTTGCTGGGGAAAAGTTTCCAGGCTTAGACTGTGAGCTCTGAAGCCCAGCCAATGGGAAGAGGAGCTAGTGGGAGGGTGGGGGTTCCACCTTAAGGTCTACATAAACTGGCTTTGAGCTACACTCCCTTGCACACCCTGGCTGGAGCCATCTTGAGCAGATGCTGGGTGTGTCCTTTCTCATGAGAAAGCAATAAAACTCGTTTTTGCCTTTCTTAAGAAAAGGTCTCTGATTTGGTTATTTTGGGGGTCACAAACACCCCACACATTATCTTGGTCAAACCCCAACCCAGATCTGAATTGATTTTATGTACTCAGGTTTGAGTGGAGACAGACTTCCAAGATTGGGGGTGGCATTTCCTTTGATGGAGGGTGATATTGGCCCCTGTGGACTGAGTGATCTAAGAAGCCCACCCAACTCCCAGTATGTTGACCAATCAGGGTTGGTTGGCACCCCCTTGGGAAACCTATGCTTCAAAGGGCATATAACTGCTATACCCCAAAATCCCAAACTGAGTCAATTCTGAACTCTGTGAATTCTCACACACTGTGTGAGTATGAACTTCTTACCCGGGTGACTTCACCCTTCACCTACATTCTGGAGCAACTTGCTTAAAGGTCAAGCTTTTATCTTGTAACAATCTCTACCCTTTGCTGAGGTGGTCTCCGGTCATTTGAATCTCAATTCTGTTATTTTAGTTTGTAACTCTAACCGGGTATTCAAATTGATTTAATCAAAGTGTTGCAGACTACCCCCCAAGTCTGCAGACTAATCCTATCACCCCCCCACTTGGAGAGGGGGGCCCAGCTTTGGACTGAACTCCCATGCAATGCATGTCAAGCCACTTTGAGAAATTAAATTGTGGATACATGTACCCAATTTCATTTATCTCTTAGAGCCGACTCTGTTCAAATTGGAGTTTGTGGGGTTCATGGGGTTCAGGGTTCACACTACCCAGACTTGGTTCTATCTTCTATGGATGTCTAGGTCACTGGCCCTCCCCGAAAAGTTCAGTACCTGGTTTATAGGTTTGTTCTGCCCCATTTGTACACCCTGCTCTGCCAGTTTCTCAACCTTCTTAGCTTCACAATGTTTGTTTCCAGTCTATCTCATCCATGTAGGCATGCCTGAAAGTTGTTAAAGAGGCAACAAGCTAGATGATAAGTAAATTCATATTGTTTATTCCCTTAAGTTAGCAACATGTACATTTAGTCAGAGCTTTAACTGACTGAATCAAGCAGTTTTAGGAGCACGTTTAAACCCTGACTCAAGATGTCTGTGTTTGCTCAGATTTATGGTCTCTGTATATGTTTAATTATAGCATAAGAAAGGAATTTTCTTAATTGAAAAGGTTGTAAATACAATAAGATAGAAGAATGTCAAAGTATCAATTGAAATTATAGATCCAGGATATATGCATTTCTTTTACCATTAATATGACAAAGCATAACATATGTCCATAAAATACCAAGATAAGAAAAGTCCCATCATTCAAGGTAGTGTCCGGGTTCAGGCACCTTAGTGTCATAAACGGAAGAATGCTGGTTAGCTTCATCTGGTCCTGCAGTTGCTGACACAGGAAGGGGCATTTTGAGTTCACTCAGAGAACAAAGAAAAGAATGTCTATTATGTTGGAGTGCTTCTTCAGGTTGATTAGTTCAGGCTTTTGGCCCTTATTGGGGTTCAAATCTTAAATGATCATCACTCTGTGTTGAGATCTAGAGGTATAGGGGTGCTGGGACCCCAAAACATCAAGAGCAAGAGACTTAGGTCCTGCCATAAAGAATTTGACCCAAGCCTTCTTTCAGCCAGAGACAAGGTTTATTAAAGATCCACCATATTGGCCAGACTCTTAAGGAATCTGAACACTTATGAAATATTGGCTAGGTTCTTAAGGAATCTGAGCCCCTTATAGGAGACAAGATGGACCTTATATACAGAAAGACTATGGGAGGGATCTAGGAGTGGCCAAGTAGTCTGAGGGAACTGTGAGGTAATGGATCACCAGGGACCTGGACCATGGCAGAGGGAGAATGGAGCCTAGATAGGATTAAAGGTGGGAAGTGGGGGAGGTGGGGCAGGGCATAGGGAGATAAGACAGTGGAGGGCTAGGAACAGAGAATTGAGAGATTGGGTATAGGAACAGCCAGTTGATACCTTTGGGGCATAGGTAATAAATTAAGGCCAGATGATTGGATTATACCTTCAAAGGTTTCATTAATCAAGTGAAAGAATTCAAGGACAGTCCAAGTGATTTCTAGGACCTGTAGACAAATGGGGCCCAAATTGGGACAAAGATCTTGGCTTGGACCCGTACCTCATCACCTGGAAGCTAGAATTTCTATTTATAGCTCTAAATAGAATCACAGAATATTAGAACTGAAAGGAAACATAGCTGCCGTTCAGTCCTGATTTTACAGGTGAAGAAAATAACTCCCTAAAAGGGGAAGCAACTCATCCATTCATATTATCTCACTTCAACAGGCCCCCTCACTGCTACACAGCAATCCTTCTATCGGTTTCAGGTTAAGTCTTCCCATAACAGATGATTGAAACCTTTTCTCCTCAAGCTTCTAATACCATCCTGCAAACTTTCTCTTACAGAGGACCTCCCTTCCTCATTTACTGAAAAGGTTCACTGAACTCCCTCCTCTTTCCTACTCCCCTAATCAAGTCTTCTCTCTGTCTTCATTTAATGAGGTGACTCTTCCCCTTGTTAAAGTTAATCCCTTCTACTTGATTCTATTCCCTCCCATTTCTTGAGATATT